GCCATTGCTGACGTGGCCGCTGCCACCTGTATATGTTGATGACGTGGCGGGCTACGTGATTGATGAGGCTGTTCTGATTCTTCGTCATCTCGGAAGGGGATCAAGACTGTGGTTATCGAGGATACGTACCTGGTTGATGACGATATTGCTGATGTAGACAGATTGACGTGCCACATGGCACCTTGAGGAAGAACTTCAGACATTGTATTCAGTCTATTGATTGATGAGGTGGCGAGGAGGAGGAGGAACCCGAAGTAGAAGTGGGCTGTTGTCTTCTTCTCTCTCCTTTGTCTATTCTCCCTCTCTCCTCCTTCGTCTGTGTATGATTCTCACCTCATTCTATCATCACACACTTTTGCGATTGTTGTCATTCATCAGCAGATCGATAATCATATGGACTGGTAATGTTGACGAGTATCATCACGTCTGGGCTCATTGCAATTTGGTATCGGAGCAGATCTTCCGATAGTATGACAGAGACGACAACGACAAGTGGTGGCATCTACGACGAAGGCTGACGTGGACAAGACAGCTCACGTCAGATTCTGACGTGGCATTGACATGGCCTTCGTATACATGTCCGATGCTGACGTGGCATCAACGTGGCATTGATATTTGGAAAGTGTAGTATCGCTGATGTGGCCAGTGGATGATAGCAGATTGATGATGTGGCATTGCTGACTCACCATTCGGTGAGATAGGAGGCTGACGTGGCAGTGACATATTCAGTTACTTGGCTTACGTGGTGCGTTGGTATCGCTCCTGACGTGTACCCCCTCGATGATGTTGACTGGATTACGGTGCTGACGTGGCAGACAGAAGTGCTGCTGTGTTGGCACTCCAGGGGATACACGTGACAGGTTGGAACTTCGACTTCGGGGCAGGCTGGTACTTCGATTTCAGCATACATTGCTGACGTGCACCCCATTGACAATATTGATTAGACCTGCTGACCTGGCATACTCATCRAGWTGMTGAGTTGGCAGGCCAGGGGTGACACGTAGCAGGCACGACCGTGCCTAAGTGAGGACAGCATTCTGATGACTGAAATGGCACGGCGAGAAGATTGACGTGGCTGTGGTGCCGAACGTCAGATTGGGTGCTGGTCACACAGGACAAAGAAGGACGAAACAGCAAGAAGGGGAAAACGCTAACTATTTTGTTGGCGGACTTACCTGTTGTCTGGATGTGTTGTGTACCTGTGTACTCACTTGTGTTTGTTGTTAATCATGCTGGCCTGGAGTTGCGGTACCTGAGATAGAGTAGGATGTCATCACATTGAAAACAGAACAGCAAATAGAATTAGAAAACTTCTGTTCCTTATCACGATTATTACTTTTTGACTCAGATAGAGTGTTGGGATAGGTGACCGTGAAATTATTGTCTTTTGCGGTAGAACAGTGTGCTGGTTTAAGAACGGTAGAACAGCGTGCTGATTCAGGTGACCGTGAATTATTGTTTATTTTGCGGTAAAATAATCTGGCCAACGAATTTTCGTGTTTCTGTTCTCTCAAGATGTCTAACTTCTGGAAATGTCTGCAACAGTCTATCTTGACGAGATTCCTAACTACTTTTCTGTTTTCTTTTCCGATCACACTTTCCGTTGGGGAAGGACCATCTGAACTCGGGACAAGGGGACAGGCTGATAGAAAGAAAGAAGAACTGTTAGCCTTGTGGTATCAGTTTCTGGCGGAGGTGCAGTTGTCTGGACCGGATGCCGAGCAACACATCCGTGATAACTTTGATCTTCAGGGGGTTGAAGACCATCTGAAGAAGTCTATCACGGCTGTGGAGGTTGTGGCAGCCGGTACAGAGGCTTCCAAATTGATTGCATAGGGGCGACAGGCTCTAGACCAGTTTGCTTTGAAGCAACTGGAAGAGATTATGGAAGCTACTCGTAAAGGGGAGGCGAAACCAGAAGTAAGTGAGGAAATGATTGATGCTAACATCAAGCAGCTCAGAGATACTCTGGCTGCTGAAGAAAGGAAGAAAGAAGAATTAGCAAGAAGAAGAGAACAGGAACAGCGAAGGGGACAAAAGGTTAAAGAGATCAGACAAGTCATAGGAACAGAAGTCGGCGAACAGACTGACATGTCACAAACGTTGGCTCACATTGTGACATATCTTACCTTTCTTGAGGAGAAGATCGATAGACAGCAAAATCAGTTGGATGAAATCACTGTTGGATTGAGAACAATTGCTAATATTGTGAAAGGTAAGAATCAGATTCAGGGAGAAGAAGAACAAGAAGAGAAGAAGGAGAAGAAAGAAGTAAAGAAGTTGATGGGGGACGCAATAAAGTCTGCTGGTCCCGTGATAAGGACAACGACTAATGGAAATGGATCTAATGGAAATGGATCCAATGGAAATGGATCAAGTCAACCATCTACTCCTCACTCTTCTCATTCTTCTAAGTCTACTCCTAAAGGAACTCCAGAAAAGACAAGCGCGGAACCAGAAAAACCGAAGAAGAAAGAAAAGGTGAAGATGAAGTTGCCGTTTACGTTTTGCAACAAGAAAGAAGAAAGTCTGTTGCTGTGGATTGCAGAAATCCAGACGTACGTGAGTACCGCACCGGTCGAGCCGGAGTCCCAAGTCGCGTTCACTACTTCTTGCATGGGTGGTGAGGCCAAGCAATGGGTGTTGGCCGAGGCCAATGCGGCGGGTTTCGAAGATATCGGTGAGTGGGCAAAGACATTGATGCTGAAACAGTTCTTGGCGAAAACCAGGGACCGTTTCCTCGACAAGACGACGACCGACAAGGCCTTTGACCAGTTGACGTCAATTGGTCAAAAGCATTGGACGTCAGTTGAGGCTTTGTCCCGAGAAGTTGACCGATTGTTGCAGGTTCCTGGATTGAACCTGCAGGACAGCCAAGTGTTGTACATCTATTCCCGCGCGTTGCCTGAGCCCTTCCGGGGACACTTAGTCACTGAAGCGAAATCCGGTAAGTACAACTACAGGCAATTTCGTGACCTTGCCCTGCAGAGGGAACAGATGACTTCTCAAGTCAAAAGTTCCTATGCAGCGGTAGTTAAATCTGGAGGAGGAGGTAGACAGTACAACGGGAAACGAGTTCTCTGGCGACAGAAGCGCCAAGACCACACACTTGTCGTCTTTGACGATGACTCAATGGAAAAGTGGCCGAACGAGGAGAATGATGACAATAGTGACTCCGGGAAGGGGGAAGTCACTGCTGTTGTGGCCAATAAGGGAGGACCACCCAGGACAGGAGGGAAGAAACAAAGAGCGTTTCCATGGCACCCTGGCATTGCTGATGGGAAGCCATGGGTCGAAATGGGTACGACTAGAAAGACTTGGCAGGAGCGCATGGACAATGCGCAACGTCTCAAGTGCGGCACACCGGGACATGTGATCGCCTACTGCCCTCAGATCCGGAACCCAAAAGCGAGCAGCCAGTAGGAGTAGCATCTGCTCCTAGTGAGATTAAGGGTAAGAACGAACAGACAGGTAAGGTGCCTACGACCCCTTCCTACCCTTCTTCTCAATTGGTAGAGGATGATTCTTCCTTAGCCCATCATCCAGATCGCCCTGATATTGTCTTATGTTATGTCTCTCTGGATGACTCCCTTGATGAGTTAGGTAACGAATTGCTAGCATTACGTAGCTTATGGGCTCGAAAGGCGAAGACTAAGGGCGAGTTGTTGTTTGCAGATGTTGAGATCGCACGAACACGAGTTGGTGTGATGTTAGACCCAGGATCAACGAGATCCTACATCTCCGAGAAGGCAATCCGTAAGTTGCATCTCGGCATGAAGGTAAAAGACTTGTCTCGACCTATAACGTCTATGTTAGCAGACAAGAGTACGATCACTGTCTCTCAATTTGTTAATCGTATTAAGTGTCAGTTCCGAACGAAGGAAGGAAAGAAGATTGTGCATGAACTATCCTTCCTTATAGAAAAAAATTTACCTTTTGATATCATTCTGGGTATGGATTGGCACGAAGAAGCCAACTCGGACATTGATTTCAAAAACAAGATTGTGCAACTCAA